AATGAGATGTGCTGTGATATTTTCACAACCCGATGCAAGAACTGCAAAGGTGCCAACAGCTTTGAGTTGCCAGGGTTGCGCGGGAGGCGAGCTTGGGGAGTGGTAGCTGGCTCCAGCTCCAGCTCGTGGGAGCTCCCGAACGCGCGGCAGCTGCACTTGACTCCTCAGCGTGAGGTTCGCTGCTTCGAAGTGCTCGACATTCAGGGCCTGATGCTTGTGATGTGGTCTGAAGGAATCGATGTGATTTCTTCTTTCTGCGCATCGCAAATCCGCACACAATGAGAGACGGCGAAGACATGGGCGGTCGGCGAGCGTTTTGTCTACCGAATACGCGGAACGGCGAACGCGCCGAGAGCTCAAGTGACCCGGGGAGTGACAGATCGCCGTGTTGGCGCCGTGCTGACTCCGCACGCAATCTTCGATTTCAAGATGCCAAGAGCATGGTACATCCGCGCGTTCCGTACACAGTACCCTGCAGGATGGAAAGTCATTGGCCCGACAGGACGTCCCCGTCGACGGGTCTGTCGATAGCGGTAGTGTCGTGCGTCAAGATGCATCTCAAGCAGCACCTGCTGGTGAGCTGGCAATGGCGGTGTCAGCACCTCGTGCAGTGTACGCGATCTGGATAAAGTGACACTCCCAGATCACGGGGAGCGTGCCCGCATGGGCGAGTGTTCCCTCTGATTCGATAGCCAGTTGCGATTCGTTGATGGTTGGTGGTCTCCGTTCCGCGTCTAGGGCTGCAGATTTGCAGAGCCGCGGTCCGCAACTGGCGCTAATCAAAGAGGTCCCTTGAGCACTACCGATCCAAAACGCCCAGATAATAACGACAGCATCGTCGTTGGGATGCTGGGTCATGACATGGCCGCGAGTCCGTGAAGCCACGACAGCTCTGTTTCCGACCGCGGTCAACAGCAGTTGCTAGCTGACCGGCAAAGATGTTTCGACGTCTTTTACCGACGGGGAGATATGCAGGCGGTGTTTGATGCGAGTCTTTGCAGGTCGTCCGTGCCCTTGATATCGCCGCGAATCCTTCAATGCACGCGTGAGGTGTTTCGGGTTCCCACCAAATAAGGTTAGGGAGAGCTTGCTGATGACTGTCGTTCTGTGGTTGGCTGGATGTCGAGCTTGGGGCTGTCGGCTGTAATGCTAGGAGCACGAGGAATCGAATGGCGCTCGCCGTGTTGCAAGTTGGAATAAAAGATGCAACAGGCGTTGTGGAGATGAAAGTGCTACGTGAGCTCATCACGCAGCAGCGGTAGCACCTCGCACCGCCGCCCTTCGCTTCTTGTTGGCACCGGCGCGCCGATATCAACGTCCGGACCGGGGCTGGCCCTTATCCGACCCCGAATTCCAAAGATCGGAGTGAGTGCAGGAGGAAGTACCTTTTCCAGGTGCTGATGGCAGTTGCGGCTTCCCATGCATTTGCTTAAACTTCTGCATGCTTGTGGCCTTTTGGGATTTGATCATACAGAGACCCTTGGATCAGACCCTGAAGTACCGGTAGTGCAGGGGCATGGATTCTGAAAAGGCGACGACCGACTATTAAAAAAGGTCGAGAGAGAATGAGAGAAAATGGGATCGGAAAGGACGGATGACCCGCCAACGCGCCGAAAAGTACTTCGAGTGGTACAAAAAGGTACAACTCATTAAACGCTGCCGTCTGGGTTCCACACTTTCCGAAGAAGCCCCACCTGCCACCCTGACGCGCCCATGCCGCAAGTCCATGCCACCCTTGCAAAAAGCATGGACATCACTCATGGCTTCAAATTTCCTGATCCACTTGCTCCAATTTGTCCACCGTGCCCCAGCAGCCCCAGCATCGACAATTCTGACATTAGGAACAGAGACAAAACTCCCCGTCTCTCTTCCTGCCTCTCTCCACCCGCGTTTACTCCCTTCTAATTTGTTTTGTTTCCCGTCATACCGGTGTTGCGAACCTTTCACCACACACCAACCTTTGTCCAGAGAAGGCTTTTGTCTGGCATCGCGACAAACCTCGACCCCGAGTCTGGATTTAAGGGTTCATCTTAGTCGCCCGAGACGCCCGAAGGATCTCCGTTCCATCCGCCTCAGCGACAAAACACCCTGTCGATCTCACAACGCAGTTTTGAATTCGGCCGCCAAAAAAAAAAACACAACAACCCTTCCCCGTGGTGCATCGATAATTGCAGCTGTACCTACTCAACAGTCTCCTCGATCATGAACATTGCTTCGCCATAGCTTTCAGTACAACTCGAGGAAAAAGAAGAAGCCGTTGTCCAGCGACACAAAATCGACACCGCGCGTCATTGACTCTCGCTTAATCTCCGGGGACGCAGTTCGCCGCCGTCTTATTCTCCTGGTCGCACCACGACACCGTCAAGAAGGAAAAGGAGCATCATCGCGATAATGCAGGAATTCAACGCGTTTCTGGCTCAGCCCAAGCCAAAACTTCCCTTCCTCTGGCCCGGCACCCTGAACCTCGCACAGTTCAACCCCATACCCTACAAGTTCCGGCCCAGTCGGAAGCTGCGAATGCGCCAAAGGGCAAGGTCTGCGGCAGAGGCCAAGTTGGCAGGACTGGAGGATATCACAAAGTTGAGCACATCGTTCAATGTCTTGGACACGCTGCGACACCTGAGGAGGCGGCAGTGGAAGCTGCTCGATCTCCAATACGCCATCCTCGCCGGCTTCCTCATATTCTGCATGGTCATCACCCCGCCAGCACCGTTCATCAAGCTGGCAATGGCCGCTGGGTACTCGTTGTTGCTCCTCATGCCCATCACCCAACAGTTTTTCCTCCCGTCCCTATCGATATGGACGTACCTCATCTATTTCTTTTCTAGTCGGTAAGTAATGTCACTACTCGTTTCCCCATTGTGCTTGCCTCAGAAGCGGCGCTGGCCGAACCGCGCGACTCCTCCAAGAGGTCGGCAGCGTGACCGAGGCCATGGCCATTGTCTGAGATGTTGGAGTGTCTCCTACAAACCGTACCCCGTGGATCTGGTCGCTAACATGCTTGTCTCAGGTTCATCCCCACGGAGGTTCGACCACACATCTGGGTCAAGGTTCTCCCTGCTCTGGAGAACGTCTTGTACGGCGCCAACCTCTCCAACATCCTCTCCGCGCACACTCACCCCTTGCTCGACATCATCGCGTGGATTCCTTACGGGCTCGGACATTTCGGCCTCCCCCTTATTGTCAGCGCTCTCCTGTTTGTCTTCGCCGCCCCCGGCTCTACACCCGCGTTTGCGAGGGCATTTGGATACATGTGCGTCTTGGGCGTGTTTATCCAGTTAAACCTTCCCTGTACACCACCTTGGTACGAGAAGGCTCACGGTCTTGAGCCGGCCCACTACGGCATGGAGGGATCGCCCGCCGGACTCGCCCGCATTGACGCCCTCCTAGGCATCGACATGTACACCACCAGCTTCACAAGCGCTCCGCTCCCTTTCGCCGCCTTCCCTAGCCTCCACTCGGCAGATGCGACACTTGAGGCGCTGTTCCTGCAGTATGCATTCCCACGCTTCAGGTGGGTCTTCATCACGTATGTGGCCTGGATCTGGTGGGCAACGATGTATCTCAACCATCATTATGCTATCGATCTCGTTGGAGGCAGCATCATGGCCGCGGCCGCGTTTTATATCACCAAGGCTAGGTGGATGCCTCGTCCACAGCCCGGCAAGAAGACTCGATGGGACTACGAGTACGTCGAATTCGGTGACCGACCCAACAAACTGCGGGATGAGGAGTTTGGTCTCGGCCGATACGGATATGGCATGGGCATCCTCGAACGCGAGAGTCAAGGCGACGACGACGAGTGGACTCTCGGAAGCAGCAGCCCCAGTTTCGATTCTTTAAGCCGCGGTGCTTCCAGCAGCGGTATCAACTCGCCCGACGTGCTTAGCCCGGTCACCCCAGACGAGGACTTCCATCACCATATAATCCCCTTGACGGCAACGGGCGACATGTGGGATGGAACCCCGCCCGTGCGGGAGAGTGAGGTGAACGATGTCGTGGTCGTACGCTGAGCGCCATGTTCACCCAAATACCAGATTCGCGTTGGTCAAGACCGACGCGTTTCTTTCCTTCCAGCCGCTTCAGGAGAAGCCGGAAGTGACAGAAACTAGACGACGGGCCGAGCCATTCGCTCCTCGACCGTGTCGATCGACCGTTCGCTACAAACCTCGCCAGCCCCGAGCCCTCTCACGACGGTGTCGGAGGCAATTAATGTTTAATACTCGACTCACTGTCGCAGTGAGGAAAAGCGGGCGTGGCCCGACCATATCTCTCCTCTCCCGCCCTGGGGTATGGTGGACAGGGAGAGAACCCATCTGCGCGCGCGCAGACGCATATGTAATATATATATACGGCATGATGTTGCGACTGGCACCAACCTATACCCACATTCGCTTTAACGGTTATTGGTTTATGGGGCGAGCATACTTGATGTTCAGGAGCATTGGGAATAAGACGGCATCTTTTTGGGGCTTTTTACAGGGGCTGATGCCGGTCACTGTGATGGCGGAAATGGCCGATCCAATTCAACTTGTGTTGAGGGTTTGGGTTCCCAACAGCATTGGGCCCAGCCAGGATAGGTTGGATCGGGGGTCGAACAAGGCGCTCACGGGCTAGGATACAGCATTGCTCCTTGAAGGGACAAGTCAGCAAGGAGTTGGACTTGACGAGAGGAAGTTAATGTGACATAGAGTTGAGGAGAATAGTTAATGGCAGTTGACGATGAGGGATTAGTGTTAAGCAACACCCGTTTCTTCTCGATACTCTCTGACTATGTGGAACAGCCGTGCACAGGGCGATATCTTCACACCAGGCCAGGGATAGGGGACAAAAGGTACAATGATGAACCGCCACTCCGCCCATATCCATGACAAGTCACTGGCAACACCCTCATGGAGCCGCTCACTACCAAAACCTCAGAACCCAAAATTGCTCTCTCGAGTCCGGGGACAGGACCTTACGCCAGTCCAAGTGGCCACCGACAAAACGGCAAAAAGATCTGAAACTTGTGAGATTCGAACTCACGACCTCAGGATTACTCCCTCTGTTTGAAATCAGAGGAATCATACGGTAGTATGAGACCTGCGCTCTAACCAGCTGAGCTAAAGTTCCGCCTTCTTCCTTGGAAGTTGGAAGAATGTGAATGACTGGCCGCTAAGGAGGTTGACTTACTCGTGCGTCGCAAGAGGGGCTGCTCTGATGGGGATCGCGACGATGTTTACACTCGAGTACCGGGGCAACAGCACAGAGACATCTCGCTATAAGGTAGCTCGACGTGCCATAATAGCCCAGCGACCGGAGACCAGGAGTCCGCAAATGTTAGGTAGGTACCTTATGTGGGGGGTTACAGAGCGCACATGCAAGGAAGGACCATATGGCTGAGCAAGTATGCTCCTGCACGGAGGAGACACTGGACTGAGAGAAAGTCGTATCTCAAATCGAACTGAGGGAAGGCATGGCCGATATCCCAATGACGTGCGACCCATCCAGACGGGACTGCCTCTGACCACCTTAGCACAGATGTTGTCAGTCATACCTAATCCAAACTCTCCATTTTGCAAGCTCCTAATTCTCTTTTCCTATGGTGACCTTACTTCTCAAACACATCATATTTGGGATCCTACCGCGCCCCTAGTATACCATAGACTTCCATCTGCCAAACAGCATTCCCCAGAATGAATTCTATCCCGATTGATCCCCTCAGAGGCACAGGTCGCCTCCCGGGGTGCCGTGCCAACACACAGAGCCCTGGCATCTGCGCTGTCATGTCCTTCTCTTCGATCCCGCACTACCAGGCATTCGAACCGGTGTCCATGAAAGCTGCCCGCCTCGCTGGCTGGAACTCCCTTGCCCTTCGGCTAGAGAGGTCCAGCGTCGAGGACGAGAACAGCCCTCGCCCATCTCCTCGGACCTTGTAGCGCGAGACCGAGATCGGCGAGCGGCCGCTGAGGGCTCGACCAACGCACAAGGTACCAACCCGTCGCTTCAAGTCAGAGAATCCAGCCACACCGGCCGAGGTGGATGAAGCAGACTCCCAGACACTTGCCAGCCTGGCAGCAGTACAGCTACTCGACTCCTGCCAAACGATCCCAATCGAATACATCCCAACTGAATGGGCCGGTTCTCCTCCTGTCCCCTCAGGCTACACAATCAGCGGCGAGCCTTTACCCGTCATGATCTCGACCTTGACCATGCACGTGAAGGACGGCAGATCGACCAATGTGTCCGACAATGCCTCCTGGCGCCCAACAGCCAGCTCCCGAAGAACATCCGAGCCATGGAGGTCGGTTTGGAGAACTGGCTACGACGGCCCTTGGAGCACCACATCCGACCTGTCGGGTGCGAGGAACTCCTTAGAGAAACCACCTGAGCTCACCAGGTCGAGGTCATCCGTCGGCAATGGCAGCTCAAACTCAGCAACTGAGCGTCTTCGGAGGCTGAAACAGCGCGCCAAAGGACGGTATCGGAGGGTTCTGAACGTATCGGAAGTCTCTCAACAAGACTCGCCTCTGCCGCCCGGTAGGATGGCAGTCGAGCTGGATCGTCTTGACGAGATGGAGGACGAGAGTGCGGCCGACGCAGACCGCCCACCCATCCCTTATACCACCTGCCCAAAGTCGGCTCCAGCGGTCCTACTCTCGCCGTACAGGTCAATCTCTGAGAGGGACACGCAGTTGAGAGTATGCAACCCCTTATCAAAGCCAAATGACAGATGACTGACTCTTCCAGCGTCGCTTGAGCATGCCAGCCAGGTCTCTGAGCAGCCAATCGTACCGTGCTCTCCCGCTGTACAGCGACAGGAAAGATGTCGTAGCGGACAAGATCAGGTCCTTGGGACGCATCCTCCGCCGCACCGAGTCGTCCTCGCTCTCAAACTCAGTATCCGGCTTTCCCACGCCTCTCGACGGCAGAGAACGGCGCAGGCAAGCCAGGAATTCCTACGAGATGCACTCCGATTCGGTAACGTCCAGTCCGCTGTTCAACACGCCAACCTCGGAGAGCGCCTTCAGTCCGACCACAATGGGAGAAGGAATCTTTCATCCTCTCGTTAGGGCTGGCACTCTCGTAGCCACCGCCGAACTTGACCGGCTCTGCTTCCTCGCAAACACGAATGCGCCGGCCTCTACACCGTCGGACAAGGGGGCAACAGCCACGGGCAATACCTCGAGCGCTCTCGTCAGCCCTCATCCGCAAACAGACGGCATCGTCATTCCTGCGGCACTGGCCAACTCGCCAGCTTCAGATGCGGCATCCCCTGGGTTTCCCACTTTTTCTCGCTCGTCCCAGCACGGCAACCGTCGGAAGGCTTCTCGTAGCCGTCTATCAGAGGTCCACAACCAGGAAGATACGCCGCTGACCATTGAGCGTGCTCCAGGGTCTACGTATGTCATTGGAGGTTCCCGTGATCCCGACAGATTGGGTACCCCATTTGCAGACAAGGATGTCGACAAGTGTGCGCGCCACGCTATCTGCCATGGCCTCGTCCAGCAACCTCTGGTTCCGACTCCATCTCCACCGAAAGACAGGACAGGACGCGTGGACCCAAGTCGTTTGGTTCGGTTCGAGCACCCATCCACTGCATGTCCACCGCACAACAAGCTCGACATGGAGCACCTGAACGAACTGCTCGACAACGCCCCCATCAACTCTTTTGCCGCACAGAGTCTGAACGTCTCGACAACCACGCCGTCAGATCCTAGCGGCGGAACTGTCTTCGGCCATCGCGCAGCTTCTTCCGAGACCACACGCCAGCTCAAGCTGCTTGATCATGAAGCATGCCTACCGACTCGGTCACTGCCTCTCAGCACTGTCGGCATCCGGCCATTCATCGACAGCCGTGCGAGCTCGCCTGGTCCTCGACGCGAGCAGTCCACCCGCGACCTGTCTTCCCTTTCAGCTGCCAGCCCAATCGCCAAGAAGCATATGGTTAGACACATTTCCAGGTCCACCTCACCAATTGACTCGCGCGCCGTACCTTGCAAACCGGCCGGATGGAGCCCTGACCGCGGCGATGAGCCTGGAGATTCAGACCCCTTCTGTTCTCCCAGCAACGAGCAGCTAGCCGATACCGAGGCCACAAAGCAGAGACCCAAAGCCAGGCGGAACACCAGCGGAACGGTGCTAATTACGGACATGGATGACACCAGCGACGGCAGCACGAGCAGCACAGAGAGCTCAGGCGCGGCCAGCGACAGACCGGTTGCCGACGATGGTTGTCCGCAGGCTTTCGCCAGATTGAAGGAGCTTGAGGAGAGGGCGCGTCAAGAGAAGGAGAGACTCCGTGGCACGATGCCAAGTACGATGCCGGAGGAGAGGGGCTCGGCGGAAGGTTGAGACGCAGACAACCTGTGTCTCGAGTGGGTTTAGCAAATTGAACCTGGGGTCTTTGGAGAGCGGTAGGTACCAGGCATTTATCAACTAGACAGACCTAACTCCAGACGCCACAGCACTGGCGCTCTTCAGTCTCCTTAACCTAGAATGCGGCATTGCAGTATGGATTTGCTTCACCCCATTCTTAAGGACTTCAAGAACCACGCCCTTGCACAAAAAGACGTGATCTCATTTCCACCGGTCGTTGTGACTCGGCTCGCCATCCAGGCTGTCTAATGGTACACCCAAAACGCCCAAACTATGCAATGCAGCTTTATAACCGTACAATGAACCAGTAACCGTATCCTAACCGACGAATTACCACATCCCAACAGCTCTCCCCCTCTCCCTCACTGAATCAGACCCATGTACCCTCACCCATTCGCCCCATCCCCCATCTGCACCATCTCATAATCCCCCGCCCCATCTCTCCCCCTCCCCCTCCCCCGTCCTCGACTAAACCCCTGCTCCTCATCACCTCGACACCACCACCCTCCGCTCCCCCTCCTCCGGCAGTATTGCCACCACTACTCCCCTCCCCATCCCCATTCCAACTCCCACCAGTGGCACTCCCATTCGCCTGTTGTGTCTTGGCTCCTCCACCGCCGCCAAAGGTAATAGGCCTCAGCTCCCTATACCGACACCCCCACACCCCGAGCGCGACGCCCAGGGCGCTCGAGGCCGCCATGGCGAGCCACCACGCCGCGTTGCGCGGTATCTGGCGCGAGTAGAGCGACGCGACGAGGAGGTGGATGGCGTGCACGCTCAGCGCGAAGTCGAGAACTAGTTTAGACCGGGCGACTAGTATGACTATCGCAATGGACCTATTTTTTGGGGGGGACACATGTTAGCAACCCCTTTCGTAGTCATCCACAAAACCAACCAAAACCTCCTGTTTCTAAGGGAGGAGGAACATACAAAACAAACCCCCCATCGACAACCCAAAGGAACCCCGCCATCCAGCCCGTGGTCGTGTCCCCCCTCACGCCCTGCCAGCCGAACACCAGGTCTAAGGAAAAATCCGTCCCCGCCACGAGCGAGGCGAAGAGCGTCAGCACCAGCGCCGTCGCGTAGAAGACGGCCTGCAGCGCGAGCAGCTGCGACGCGATCTTGAGGGGCGGAAGCTCGGATATCGCGCCCGAGCGAGGGGGGCGGCGGCGGCGGGCCATCGTTGTGTGGGTTGAGTTGTGGGAGGGAAAAAGTGTAGTAGGTAGTGTTCGCGGATCCGGCAAACGGGTGGTGCCAACCGGTTGTTGCAGATTCGGAGGGTGGGGGGGCCGGTTGGGTTAGGTCACCCCCTTTCGGAGGAGTGTAGGGAGGTCTTGGGTTGTGGTTGGAGGTTGGCGGTGTGCGGGCGCATGTGCCTACTTGTCTGAGTGTACTAGACTCTCTAATGTCGTTTGGAGGATACGCGGATGTCGTAGGTTATCGGTTGTCGGAGTTGAAGTTATGTAGCTGCCTTTGACATATGGCCAGATGATCCGCGTGTCGACAACCTCGCGCCTGGCAAAGACAAACGGTTACACGCACTGACAGCTGCCAGAGTTGACATGGTCATAGCGTCCGCCGTTCGACTCCGTGACGTACAATTCGCGGCTGACGGTCCGCTTCTTCGGCCCCAGTGGGGTCCGCGAATTGGATGTCTCGGCAAGAAACAAACGACTTTCGAAGCTTCGACGACAGCTTCCGACCTCAAGCTTCAAGCTTTCAACTATCCGCCCGAAACTCTCTACATTGCCACC